GCTCGATTCGAGATATATTCTCCGTGCACAATCCGTGCACATACAGAAGGGATGGGAAACCGGGCAACGCGGCGGGACGGGAAGGAGAGGACGGAGGCGAAGGTGGAGACGTAGGTGAAGAAGGAACGTAGGGGAGGCGTACGTACAAGGAATTCATGAATACGAGATTGCACTCGAGGAGCCCCGGGTAAAAGGCTGCTGCAGTTACCAACTACAGCCGCACGGTTAGATTCCGTCGAGACTGAAAGAAGCGACGTTATATACAGAACGATACGACGGACGCGAAACTTTTTCACGTGCATTCTTTTTTTTTTTCTCTCTCTCAAAGAACGCGACTTTGGATGTACCTGCTGCTACGACTGCGAGTGAAAAATGGCGTGGAGAAAAGCTGAGCTTATTTTTTAACGCAAACGCTAATCGTTCGTTCTGAGGAAGAAATCTTTATGACATAACAAGAGATTTCAATTGAAATTTTCAAGTGGCGATGGAGAAGAATCTCTGAGATAGACCTCTGCTCGTTTTACTTCTTTGAAATATTTAATAATGTTTAAAATGTACTTATCTTCTAATTTTTATTAAGTATATATTAATAAGAATGTATAGAAGAAAACTGAGCTCTCTTTTATTAAGAAAAAGTCGTTTTCAGTATGTGTGAAGCATCATATATGTTAATTAAAATGAAAGTTCTCTAAGATTATATTTCACCAGCAAGGTTGTCATCGGGTAACGCGCGCGCGAAATGTATATTTAATAGACATTTAATATAAGTACGCGCCGTTTCTTTCCTCTTTAAGCAAGTCGCTATCGGCGCTCTTCCAGCGGGAGTGGTAAATACTCGTCGCTAAATTGAATGAACGGCAAAAATGTTTCATCAGGGATGAGGACGATCTGCGCCGCTGGCGCGATCGAGCCTCGCGTCCGATCCGATGCGCGCGAATCGCATCGTATCCTCGAGAGAAGAGTTTGCCCGCCAGGAACGAGCTAGTGATTTCGCGAAATGAGCGGCGACGACATTTCGGATTCCACCAGTATATCCCAGCGACAGCCTGGCCGAAGGGCAGAAACGCGGTCAGCAATTTTCGAGGAAGTTCGCGTGTCCCTGTGGATACCCCTGTCCTTCCTTCCTTACGTGTCCGCGCATCCGATTTCTAACCCGAAGGAGACTCGTTCGATCTTCAGTCACGTAATTGGCTCCGGTTTGTTTCACCGTTTATCCGAAAATCACGCTTCTTTTCCGAACTCTCTACTGGAGCAAGATATCTCTCTCTCTCTCTTAATTTTCCTTCTTTCTCCAGTCTCTTATTTCGCAACTTTGATATTTTGTATTTTTTATATATTTCTTCATTTTCGGTTGTGTCTTCTCTCTTTCTTATCTTATATATCGACATTCCACATATTTATTTTAATTATTTAATTAGACAAGTAAATTTTATCATTGTTTTATTTTTATATTTTTGTGTGAATATTTTTTTGCTCAGGTAATTCATCTAAGTGTATTGCAAAAAAAAAAAAAAAACATGGAAAAAGATGTTCCCTCTTTACTCTAATTGCTAATACGATAACCAAGAGAATATAACACTTGTTCAATAAATTTTAAAACCGTTTTCAAAAAGACACATTCATCCCTCGTAAAGATACGACCGTCGATCTTCATCGCATACGATTTCAGCGAAGTTGCCTCGCGAAAATTGATCGAACATTGATCTCCATTTAAACATTTTCACGAATATACGCGTCTCGCATTATGCAAAAACACGCCCATCGATCTCCATTCGGTCATCCGCGCAAAAAAAAAGCACACACCGCTCTCCGCGTTCATCGCGACGAGGTTGTCTCCTCGATGCCGCTACGTGCTGCGGAAACCTGGCCATCGATCTCCATTCGATCTATTCTCGTACCAGTTCACGGTATACGATCGATATATAAATAGATCGACGTAGTATACGTACTCGTTCAACGACTCGCGCGCGTGTTCGTTCCGTGTCGACGTGCGAGATTTGTCGATCTTGACGGTAGAATCCTACGATCACCCGCGTGTCAGACATATATTGTACGTACATCGGCATCTTTTGAACGCGAAACCATTCGTTTCCGCGTCGTGTCATTTTATTCGCGATAGGTATGCGAACGTAATCCGCCCACGCGCTGCGATTTGAACTTGTGTGTGAAATACACGTTCGATAATCCACGTGCGAGGACACCTATACCCGTCATTAAAAAATCGATCTAATGATGCTATTGCCATTCCGAGCATATCTATGTCTCCGTTTATCGTGAAAAGCGTGTGTATAAAAAACCTTTACCATCAACATTTCGTATTTTAAGGAAACGTGATGGCGAGAGGATACTTACGAGATGCGAGTGAACCGAAGGAAAGGAGAAGAAGGTGAAGGTGGAACAATTTTAACGCGAGAATTGGCTCCTTAGGCCAAGGTGATCGAAAGCGATATACACGAAAGGAGTAACGAATCGGGATCGTTAGCGGTACACGGTGTATTTAGAGCGTCTGACGATAACAATAAAAAGGATAACAAATTCCCTGGCCGGCTCTCTCGCTTCGAGATTTAAAAGGCACCCGGCGCATCGCCGCGACACATCGACATTTTCAGTGGAGATAATTTCGAGAAATAGATTCTTATGCAACTCGCGAGTACAAGGCGTCTCGGGGATATCGTTTTTACAAAATCGTGAGAGGAACAAAGAAGATCCTATGCATTTTTCCTTCACTTCACAAAGAAAAAGATTTTATATTATAATTTATACACTCTCTAAGCATTTTGACAAAAAATATAGACTCTTCAAAGAAAGCTAAAAATCTTGTACTGAAATATTTCTCATTTGCGTAATGCCGCAATTTAAAAAAAAAAAAAAAAAAAAAAAAAAAAACGTAATATGAATAGATTTGATCACAAATACATTTTCTTCGAGTTATACGTTCGAAAGGCGTTCTCGTCCGCGAAACGCAACATGGCAATCGATGTGAGTTCAACGGTTTCGTTAACCTCCCGGCGAAAACGAAAGTCACCATGTGCAGCAACGTCCGAGAGACACAGCGGCAACATTAGCGAGCTCGGGATGGTCTCTCGCCGGAGGAGGTCGACAGCGTGGCGGGCGACCTCGATCGAGGACACTCGCCCGGTGAGAGAATCGCGGATGTCCTTTCGAGCTTTCGCGTTACATCAGTCGCGCATTATGATGCAAAACGCGTGACGTAACGCCGCGTCTGCCAAAAAGCGCGTTTTTTTTTTTTGGACCACGTGTTCGCCCGAATCGAAACTTTCCTCCCTATTTTCAATCTCAGTTTTTTCACGTTTATGGATTCTACAGGATTTCGATAAGTTTAATTTATAATAGAAATCAAGCTCCTACTTGATATTTCAAACAGAGAATAAACGAACAATTTTTGACTTTTTAGAAATTAAAAAAAAAAGCTTCTGGTAAAATTATAGATTAAATAGTTTCGAAAAAAAATAATGTTACTGTTTAAAGTATCAAAGTAGATGTTGGATTGAAAATTGAGATCGAAAGTGAGAGAAGAATTTCTCAACTCGAATTACGACGTGCAAAAATTACTCTCCTTCTTACACTCTATTAGCATAATTAGACGTATCTTCGCGCAGTCTTGCTGAAATGTCACACTTGAGTGAATCACAGTTACAAATGTGGTTTACGAATCGAGCGGCTATAAATGTCGCAAGTAATCTAACCCGCAATCTCCGATATTTCACCTAAACTATCCAAAGTATGGGTTTAGCGAACCCGAGTCATAAAAAATATTAGAAATTGCGAGCCTTGCACCTAACACGATTTAGGTCACAGATCGAGCATGCGTTCGTCCGTCACGATTGTCTCTTGATCGACGTTTTCAGAGACAAATCTCGATATCGTGCATTCAGAAATCAAATAAAAAGAAATGGGACGCGATGAGAATCGTAGAGAGAGAAATTTTGTAGAATACACATGTATATGCCATCAATTTTCTTATAAATCTAGTTCAAAATTTCTATTGTGAATCCAAAGTTTTGTCTTCTCTCGCGTCCTCTCAATATATCTAACATTTAAATTCAATTGCGTTCTATATATCATCAAAGCAACACAATCGTGCCAATATATCGTGCAAAACTACCAACTATTATAATTGCGGAAACCAATATTTAAAGGACAATCACATTGCTAATGTGACAAACTATGTACATGCATGCTACTCGATACTTCGTCGAGATATATCGCATATGAGAAAATCTAAAACTATGCGCCGCCAGTCTCCCCATTCTGTATTACAGATAAATCGTAATATATTCGCTACGAGAGAGATCCACGCACGGTTGCGAGGAATGACATAAGAGACTGTAAAATTCAATATATTTCCATTTTTCCAACAATTCTTCAATTTCAAATGGACCGAGTGCTTGTTTTTTTTTATTTAGTTCATAAATATTCAATGGATTATTAAACGGAAAAAAAACGGACAAAGGAAAATTGTTGATTAACCGTCGCTACCTAACCACGGTTTGTTAGTAAAATGCATACAAATAATCACTTTACGTAACTCTACTATCATAACTGGATTGTATAACAAATACGCAACATGATAGCAACTTTCTATGCAAGTCACTGAATCAAAAGTTAATAAAGCGACGTCACATATGTGTATGAAAAAATACAACTCGATTTGTAAAATAATACCAACGTGTCTCTAAGAAAAATCGATAATTTAAATATAGAAATTAAACATCGTTTTAAATTAAATCCGTTCTCTACATCGAAAACACGTGACTCTATTAAAGCTGGAAAAATACACTGTATGTGAACAGTGACAAATGTATCATAAAAAAAAAGAAACACTCTGGCCGTCATTCCTTTTAGAGTCGTCGTTGGATCGTCTCTCGTCGCTATGCAAATGAACGCAAAACAACAAATACAAAAGGGGGAGGGAGAACGACCGATCGACGAGGAACGAAAGGCGTGTTCGCATGCTATTAGTAATAGTGAAGACGTACCCTGTACCAAGTGGCCACCTGCGAGGCGCTCGGAAGGGGTGGAGAAGCGGTGTGGTTTATCCGTAACACGAACCGGAGATGTGGAGGGTGGTGATGGAGGGCCCGAGAGAGGCGCGTTTTTTTTTTTACGCGCGGTATTTGCGGTATTCGTACGAAGGGGAGGTGTGCGCGCGTTCGTAGATAGGGCCCCACAACACACGAGACGGTAGTAGCGGCACAGGTGTGGCGGTTGGTGGTGGTTGGTGGCGGGTGTGGAGTGTATTTCGCCCCCGTGCAGGGTGAGGCAAAAGCAAAAACAACAACAACAACAACACCACAGGTCAGAAGATACACGGTTATCGGCGATTACGCGAGACAAAAATATATGTATATATAAATCTCTATACACATGTATAATAAATGTATGAATAATACAAGTGCAGATACATATCGTGATGAATGTCGTCTCAGGATGAATTAGAGCGATCGTTTGACATATTAGTTTTTACAATAATTTATAACTGTCATAATATATCGTATAATAAATCGCGCCAGTATTTAATTATTTACATAAATGTTTAAAAATGTTCATCGAATTCATCCTGAGTGCAGGGAGTAAAAATTTTAATGAGTAAATATAACCAAAAGTACAAAATATTGAATAGAAATTAAATTTCAAAAAAATAATGGAACGAGATCGATGGTATCAGTGTACACGTTTTCTCTTTATACTTTCATGCCAACAAAAAAACGTAATCCTCGTGTATAATCCAATCGATGGATCGTACACTCTAGTATCGCGGTTTTGGATCACTTTAAATTTCCTTTACACGTATCTGATACCAAGATCGTGGACGATATACACATACTTCTGCTATTACAAAGAAATCTATAAATCAATTTGGCGGAACATGAGAGAAATAAAGAGATAATTCGCAGAGTCGGCAATTCGACTCTACGAGGGAAACTAAAACAGGGTGTAGCGGGAAAAAAGAAAATATTGAATCGTAGCTGATTCATTTTAGGCGAAAGAGGATTTAAACGGGGATATATATCGGGGTTTCTGTGCTGTACCTCCTGTGTCCCGGAAGGCAAGCATGTGGAGCAAAAAGACGACACGCGTGAAAATTCTTGCGTGACAGAGAGCAGAAGAGAGAGAGAGAGAGAGAGAGAGAGAGAGAAAGAGAGGGAGAGAAAGAGGACGGAAGACAGAGCGTGACGGCTTCACAGAAAGCGAAAAGCCACACACATATTATCGATATTCTAGTCTCTATTTCGCTCTATAACAGAAACACTGTGTGCGTGTCCATTCTCGGCACGCCTCGTCAACAAAGTGCATCTAACACGTGCTCTTGTGCGGTCGTTAAAGTTCTCGAGAGTCGAACGAGAGCACGACGAAAGCGAGTACTCGGTTGGATTCAAAGGCGATGGCTATCGGATCGTGCAATATTGTGGACCCAACCGAACGAGATTTCTTTGAAGTCAGATAAAAGAAAAGCCAGTAATCAACGGAAAAGTAAAATTACAGTTGAATAGTTTACTGCAAGGATAGTATGTAACCTACTTTTTAAAAAACTCGAGAAGCAATGTATATAAATATAAATCACTCAATTTTAAGATTGATTATCTTAAAAAGTATAACTATTTTGCGCAAATTCTCTTCATATATACATTAAAATATAGCGCTTGATTACATCGTGTGAATCAATGCTTTGATAGCATCGCTGTTTCTCTTCAAAGAAAAAGCTTCGATATTCTGAAATAAAAAGAAAAAAGAAGAGAGAAAACTCGGTCCGATTATCGTTTTTGAATCCCGCGTATACTCGTGACTCTCGGCGGTCCCCGTGGAACGATTCGTAAGCAGAAAGCATCAGAAGAGAGACTGGAATCTCGCTCTCTCCTCGCCTCGAGAATTCGTCATTACTCGCTCTGGCGGCTCTTAATTTCGCGCTGTCTGCAATCTCGCGAAATCGGCATGTAAAGCGCGCTGCTACCTTCGCTCTCAGTGCGCAACATTGTGCGTTATACTTTTTGCCGCCCGAGGAACTATGAGCGGTTTCGCGACGACGAAGAGGACGGGCGGACGGGAGGAGAGGAGAGGAGAGGAGAGGAGAGGAACGGAGAGCCAGAGATAGAGAGAAAGAGAGAGATAGAGAAAGAGAAAAGGGAATAGGGAGAGAGGGAGAGAGAACAGGCGGAGAGAGCGTCCTTCGAAAAAAGCCTGATAGAGTCCTTGGGATCCGACGTGGTCGGTGCGCGTGCGCAAGGAGCGGATGCACGGTGATAAATGACAGATCCGATGGGGTTCGACCGTAATCGGCGATTAATCGATACTCGGCGATCCTCGGTGAAATATACACGCGACCGCAATTTCCAGCGGGAACAAATCGCCCCGGGTGGCGCAGGTACGAATTATATTATACTACGGCTTGCTCTCCTCCGAGAGATCGCGGGCGAATTTCTCAACGAAACACGGCCGTCTCGAGGGAACGCGCGAGAGTATATATACGAAAGACCGACTCCGCTCCGCGGAATCTTTCTCTCTTTCTCTCTCTCACGCGCGCCACACAACTCGCGCTAAATCGGGGTTACGAATTACATTTACCGGCATGCTTTCGATCGCGGGAGAATTTCTCAACGAAATACGTGTAATTATCGTGCGAAGGACTCCGGCGCGAGCGCACGTCCACGATGGAGACGGCAAAACGAGAATCCGCCACGGGCTTCATAAATTTCCGACGTAAGGATCGTCCGGCCAGAAATAACACGCGGGAGAAGGTACGCGCGCGGGATTTATTGCCGCGAAAGAGAATAATGCGTTCCGTTTTCAATTTCTCCCCCTCATCTTCCAACGTACGCGCAACCTGTCTGTCCGACCGTCCGTCCGTCTGTCTGTCTGTCTGTCTTGCGCGCTATCGAGCAGCCGGGAGATAAATTTTAGTCCGCGAGTGAATCGTTCGATCGTCGTTAAGAACACGTCGATGTTAAACCCACCTCTCCAAGCTCTACAGGCTATTTTCAAGGCTATTTCCCTCGGGATATATTCAAAGTATATCGACGAGAAGAGCTCCTCCGTTACCTATACGAGGAACCGTCATCGCTCATACCTTGGGCAAGGACGCCAGACACTGCTGCTTCACGTCCCAGACCAGTTGATCCTTCGGGAACTGCAGACACTTGCTGACGTAGAGCTCGGGCACGTGGATCCGAGCGAGGAGCATACCCTCGTTGACGGGGGTGTTCTCCGCCGCCGCGAGCGCGTCCTCCGCATTCTGCTGTGCCTGCGGCGTCGAACCACCCTGAGGACCGATGATTGCCTGAGTCGCGTTGCCAGGTGAGTTCTGCTGCTGTTGCTGCTGAGGCGACTGCTGCTGGGGCTGCTGCTGCTGCGGCGGCTGCTGCTGCTTTGGTCCCGCCTCCATTGCGAGGACCTCACGGTTCCTGAGGATCCCACCTTCAGTAGCTCACATCTGAAACGAGAAGCCGCGTTGCACAATCATTAATACATGTTTAATTAATCATATTTTTAATAGAAAAGAGAAAAAATAAAATATATAGTATTTCAATAATTTAATAATAATAAGAAATTTTGATAAAATGTTAACAGCTAGAGAGAACATATTTTTTTTTTCAAATTTCCTCCCACATCTCGTCGAGATGCTAAAAGATTATGTAATCAATTTCTAGCAATTTACATGTTCTTTTACACTTCTATTATCGCGTTAAAACCTTTTCAAAGTCGACGAAGTGTTAAAAAGTTATGCAATCAGTTCGTGGAAGTTGATAGAAAAATCTGATGACGCGATTCCCATTTCTTAATATAATCGAGGGTCCCCGAATTTTTTCTCGCCGTTCAACTTTTTGCTTCTCCAAGAGACCGCCAAGCAATCGAAATGATTGAATCGTCAATCATTTTTTATTCTCATTAATTCCCGCGATCCTTGAATCTTTGAATTCTTTCAAGCGACTCGCAAAAAAATATACAAAAGTTTTTCTTTTTTTTTTCTAATGCGATAGCATTGACGGAAGGAGATAAATAAATGAGTAATCATCTTTCGGGAGTGTCTTTAGGCAAAATGTGGATTTGTTAACGAGCGTGTAAGTGCCGTAAACGTACGCGAGAGACGACGATTGCACGTGAAAAGAGGAGGCGTTTCGATTAGGAAAAAGACTCAAAGAAAGGAAATTAAAACGGCGAAGGATTCGCCGTTTACGACCACGGCGAGGGATAACGGTAAAGAACGGGATTACCGCAGTGAAAATAAAGAAACGGCGCCGAGACGCCGTGCCACGGCGATTTTTAACGCTCATAAAAGGCATTTTATGTGCCTCGCGCTGAGCGGCGGTTTTTCCCTTCCTCCCTATCGCTCTTTCTCTGTTTCTTTTGTTCGCATTTTCATTTATTTGTTCCTTCTTCATTTTTCTCTTGTTTCGCGATGCGTAATCAGAGATCCGAATCGAAGCGAAGTTTTAAGAGTCCCGGTCGCTACCGCAACAAGCCGTGTGCCGACAATCGTACGAGAGCGCGCACCTCGCTCGGGTAGAGAGACGACCGTAATTTATATAACGCCAGGAATGGCTTTTCTTCCATACCGGGGGCCGTGGGGAAAAGAATGACCGATCCGTTCGAGGCGCGAGACTCATCGTTTTGAATTGATTATGCAAATTAACCGCGCGCTCACCTTCGCGTCGCGACTCGACGTACGTGCGCACAGGGCCGGGCCCTCCGTACAGGACGTAACACTCCCCCCGCCTTACCTTCTCCCGTGTCTCTATAACGCTGAGAATGAGAAAAATATACACCGAGAAAATTAATCTCGCCTTTACCTGCGTAAAGTTAATCTATGTGCGTATCAATTATATTCCGATATTTAAATAAGGGAATAAATGTAGAAATTTATTATAGAAACAATTTATATGATAAATAATTTATACGATGGGTAATATGTATTAGATAATGAAACGTAAGCGATATTACTCTTCTTCTCCTAAAAGAACCTGTTTCCTGACAATATTCTCAAAAGTACCTTAATCCGATTCTGGATATACGTATGTAGTTATGAAGCAACATTGCGAAGAAGAGAGAGAAAAACTTTTTCCACCTTCCAGGCATCTCGTGATTCCCGCTACGTATTTTCAAGCCGCGTCTACCATAATGACAAGAGATTAATTAATTAATTCCTGACTGCGTATCTATCGCGCGTTACACTCGATGCTCTTAAACTGCGGGATCAAGAGCCTCCAAAATTTGTGGAATCCATGATTCATGAAAGCTCTCGAAAGATAAGATGAAACGATGTTTGATAATCTCGGAGTATCCTTTTGAATCATCATCGTTCGGCAAGATTTCCATGAACGAGCCTCTGATAAATGGACTTCTGTCCTTCTTCATCATCGGTGATGTACCGTGGCCTGGCATGATATACGTATCGTCGCGTAGCAAGCTAAGCGCGTATTCGTCTTTATCTCGCATTCGCGCCACCGCCGCTTTCGCCGCGCGATAACGCGTTTTATAATTCCGCCTCCAACCTGTCGGATTAATCACCGACGATAACTGACGTCTTAACAAGTGCCGCGCGCGTGATCGCTTTCACTCGAAAGTCTTCACAACGCGACGAAAGTCGCCGTCGCCAACTTTTATTTCGCAAGTCGCAAGTTGTCCTACACACGAAGATTTTGCACCGCGAACCGTGTAATCCCGCGATTAAGGCGCGGTACTTGCGTCATCTTCGGTAATGGAGTGACATGGGAACTTTACGATGCGCCGATGTATACAGGGTGTCCGTGAAATCGCTCCGTTTCTTCATTTTTCTTTGGCAAATGTAAAGTTTTCTCTTGGAAAAAATTTAATTGTCCGCCGTTTGTTCAATATTAAAAATAAAGTTAAGAGATTATAGTGAAAAATTCAGATAAAATTAGAAATAAAATTTTATTATTTATTTTTTCTCTCTCTTCTTCTATGTTTGATATATTTGATTTAAAGGATCAATTTTGCAATTTCTGAAGTGTGTACATTTCGACGCGAGAAAATGATTTTACAAATTCTTCAGAACAAGATTATCTTATACGAGCGTACCTTTATGCATATAACCGAGGAAGAAAATTAGAGTAAAAGGATTCCATGGAAACGGATGAGGAAAGATGGAATTCTGGAGAGTACAAGTGCGAGACGTTAGGTGCTATGTGAGGAGAAGTTTGATGGGAAACCGCAGACGCCATTAAACGTAACCGTCTTGTCGGGGGAGTCCGCGGACTATGTTAAAACTTTAAATAACCCACTGACCACACTGTACACGTGTGTATATAACTTATGTTTCGAGGACAATGCGCTTGAAAGAAATCCGAAGAACCGCGCGAAGGTCGCATCCGCCGCGGCCAGTCAACGCGAGATTTTAATTGTTAAGTCATAAATTCGTTCGACACGTCTCAAAATTTTTGCATTTTTTCTTGAATTTTCGTAAAAATTCCTAAAATCTACAAATATCATAAAATACAAATTTTTTTGTATACCTACTACTCTTATATTAAAAGAATTATTTCTCCATGATATAATTTCAAAATTTGAGAAAATTGTATATAGCTATATTTTTTTTTACTCTTTACGTAAAATACGCAAACCAATTCGAATTATAAATGATATTTAAATAATTTTAAATAAATAAATATTTAATTATCCAGTCAACGCGCGGAGAGAAGAGATGCAACGCGTGATGCAGTTTTCGCAGCTTTCGTCGCATTACTCGCAGCTTTCGCACGCGATATTTCACAGTAGATTATAATAGTTGCGATGATAACGACACACACACACACACACATCTGCTACTTTTTCCAAGTGACGAATCGATCATCGCCGGCCCGATGGGGCTATCTGGCGAAACCGGTAGAGAAGAGGAAAACGATACAGAAGAAGAAGTAGAAGAAGAACAAGAAGGGAGGCTATAAGAAAGATAATAAGAGGGAACGCAAAGAGAGACGATGATGAACCGAGGGGGGAAGAGAGGGTGGTGGGCTCGTGGATGCGTATAGATGAACGCGTAGTGGACGCGGATGGACCCATGGGTGGACTGACCGCCGGACGGACAGCAAACGCATCAATGACAAGACGTAAATCATAGTTTTATGACCCGTCTTTATGTGGCCCTTATTCGTGGCACTCATCGGTGGAAGAGAGCCTTTCGGATTTTTCTGTCTGGCCACCCTGTACTTGCATATCCAGGGCCGTATCGATTACCATCGATCATGGGAGAGTTTGCGCTTTTTACAAAATGATCCTTTATAAGGATAAATGGATCTTATCATAATTATCTTAATTTATTGCCAACGGTGAAATAATGCTCTTGACGTTTTTCGAAAATAACGTTACATGTCAACAATGATCATGTATATTTCCTGATGCACATGTGAAATCAACGACGACGTTTAACTTAATTACATTGTAATAAATTTCAATTTCTTGTTTTTCTCATACGTGACATGAGTAAAAAATGAAAGTGTAAATGGATGATTTCAATGAATCACAGAATTAAATTCTTTGTTCATTTTAAAATTTAGATATCGGGAGTTTTTCGAGATGACACATCCGCAAATTTTCCTTATACATCTCGTATCACAACATGTAAGTATATTAGATTATAGCGTTTCGGCAAAATTCACACGTAGGTACAAAAATGTTAAAACTTCGATCCATACTTATCCCCGTCCCTGGGAACGCACGTATAAGTGCGTATATAACAGGTACCAGCTGCGTGGGCGTCGGTTTACGGGTTTGCTTTCAAGTGACCGTACCTTAATTCGCACGGCGGTTAACAGTGTGTCGTGCTTAACGGTGATCCCGCGAGGAGGGAGGAGAAGAGAGGAGAGGCAGAACGAGAATGAGAGAGATGGAGAGAGGGAGAATTAACAATTTTAAAAAATCCGGGAACTGCACCGCGATGGAAATATAACCCCGCGACAAAAAAGGAGGGGAAAAGAAGATGGTACACACGAAGGCACAGCGAAGGACAGCGCGAGGTTAAGGTACGACCCTGACATTCTGGATCTCGCGGACGTGGGTGTGCGCACCGCGCAACTTTGTTGCTGCACTTTTTCGAGAGCATCTTCCTCCCCCTCTCTCCGCGTTGCCCCGCTCGCGGAGCTCGGCCACATTATGCGCGCTCGCGCTCGCATAAAGGGAACGGCGAAGACCTTGAAACGAAAAGAGAGAGAGAGAGAAAGAGAGGTGGTGCACGACGATGAGGGTTATTTTTCAACAACATACACGCGCTACGATGCCGCGGGAGCTCGGCCACATTATGCGCGCTCGCGCTCGCATAAAGGGAACGGCGAAGACCTTGAAACGAAAAGAGAGAGAGGTGGTGCACGACGATGAGGATTATTTTTCAACAACATACACGCGCTACGATGCCGCGAAAAGTGAATCGCGCCAAATAGTATAACTCGACCACCGCGCGCTTCCCTTTACAGCTCTTAT